CATCTGTCAACTGGCTCAAGGCAGAAGGTTCTAAGAAGGTGTGTGGCGTTTTATAATGTTTAAAGTACATAGCTGTGGAGCAGAAATCTATTAAGAAGTCCATAGTCGGTACTAGTTACTAGTGCATTAACTTTCTCTTAGTTGTGTTGAGAAATAAGCATGTGTTTCTATTGGTGTAGTTTCTTTTTATTTTCCAATTGACATTGTGCTAGGCGATGAAATTTCTCAATGCATGATGAAACTTCCAATGTGAGAAGAAAGAAAGTTTGGATTATAACCATGAATGCTACCATTTTGTGATATACATAACCTGCCACCTGTTCCGTTGATGATTTGAATTTTCGATTTATCCTATGAATTTATTCTATGCCATATTTGGAGTTGGAATGCTTGTATTGCGTGAATAGTTCTTGGTAACCATGAGTGATCAAAACTACTTTTACATTGTGAGGACCCTCAAAGAATCTTTTTCTAACCTAGGCCATTTTATTCCACTTAGCTTATTTTCGAGGCGATGTGGCTCTATGCACTGGTATAATTCTTGTCTTACTAATAAGATTTGTTATAGGTTTGTGTTACTGGGTTCTGCATGGGTGGTGCCCTAGCTATTGCAAGTTCTGTTTTGGTTCCGGGAATTGATGCTGTGGTATCTTTTTATGGTGTGCCTTCGCGTGAGCTTGCGGACGTCACCAAAGCTGAGGCACCTGTGCAGGCTCACTTTGGTCAACTTGATACCTTTGTTGGGTTTTCAGATGTTGAGGTATGATTGTTATACATTTCAGATTCTTTTATCTTCCTACGTGATTCTTTTTATTATAATCAACACGTAGATATTTCAGAACATTCATTTCCTGTCTATATTCTTAAATTGAAAGGTATCGAGATATTGTGGTTGAAGTTTCTTGATAAATTTCTATATTCTTGAAGCAAACAACTTCAGAATTCTAAGTACTTTTGTATTGAAACTTGAATATTCCGATTTAATGAAACGATTCTCAATTTATTTATTTTTATCCTTTAGCCATAGTTGAATGATTTCTGAATACGTAGTTCCTCGTGTTACAAACTGGCCCTTAACGTATTAAACAACCTCTAGAAGGTCAAAACTTCTCCAATAACTTATAGACACTTCTTCTGTCAGTGTATTATCATCTTCACTTGTTGCCTGAAACAAGGATTGTTTGCTTTATGTCTATATTGGGCTTCGTGGAACTACCTTTAAAATTCTCTAATAACTTTTAAGCCTTCACCAAATCATGCCTCTGATATAATATCATCTCTGTTTATGTTATGTTGTAATTCTGAAGAGCTACCAATGTACTATATAATTAAATACTTTAATGCTATAAGTAGTGTTCTAGAAGTCGCTATGCGCCCGACTAGCGCCTAGGCGGGGCCTACAAATTAAGATTAAATAGATTACTTTTTATTTGTTTTCACTACCTACAAAATAAAACTACCTCAACTTACAATAAATACATACACCTAAGTATATATAATAATATTAATACATTATAAAGAAATTATAATAACAAAACAAAATAATTAGTATTTTTAAAAAAGTAAAAAAAAATAAAAAATATTCCGCCGAGGCCGCTTTGGAGCGCCTAGGCCCCCTGGCCGCCAAGCCTGCCTAGGTGCCGCCTACCCGCTTGACCGGTTTGTTTCAACCAATTTGTGCAAATCGAAGGCGGCCGGGTTGGCGCGCCTAGGCGGCCGTCTAGGCCAATTTTTAGTACAGATGCAAATGTACATGTATATCAGTATATGGGCATTTATCTTGTTTTTTTTTTTTTTCTTGTTCTTTTTTTTTTCTTTTCCTTGGTACATAACTTTGTATCCAGACTGCAAAGAATTTACAATATGAACTAAGGAGAACAGTTGAACATGAGGTGTTCATCTACAAGGGAGTCGGGCATGCCTTCATGAACAGGTCCCCTGAAGGGATTGAGAGAAGGAAAAGGATGGGAATAAATGACGAAAATGCTGAAGCAGCAAGTGAGTTGGCCTGGCTCCGTTTTCGTGCGTGGATGGCTTATGTTTTATCGGTCTGAATTGATGCTTTCGTGCTTAATTAGCGAATGCATAATTATAGAGTAAGCATCTGTTTGTTGTTGGCATTGCCCGTGTATCCGTATTAATGCCTATGGTTGGATATGTACCTTGGTTGTGCTTGTGGAGGTTGGGGCCTGTGGGATATATTGAAAAGTGTCTTAGTTTGGGTCTTAGTTTTAGGATAGAAATTCATATTAATATTAACTTTATTTTCATACTAATGTATTTCTTCATTTTTTAATTCATTTGATTTATACTGAGTACAAAGTTTATACGAACGAAAAACCTAGATAAGTGTGGAGGTTTTAACAGAGCACCAAATCACTCAAGCTTTCATGGGTTCAATATTGGAATATTGATGTTGAAGGATGCTGCTGAAGATCCCTCTTCAATTCCAGGTATTTTTTCACGAATCTCTCATCGATCGAACACAATCCCTCGCTTTACATCCCCAAATGCCATCTGCAAATCGACAGCACAAGCTCCCTCCTTGAGAACAAAGCTTCCTCTTTTGCTGCACAAAAATGGCAACAACATTAATACTGATGGAGACGTTGATTTGAGGTGTAATTATTTCTCTGTGTTTGATCGGGATGACAAATCATTATCAACACGACAACTCCACTTGCTATTTAGTGTTAACATCCAGGGCTATTGCAATGGCGTGGTGTGCCTCGTGGATAAGTTTGTTGGTCATAGAATTGCCCTTTGGAACCCATCAATTAACGAATTTAAGTTCCTTCCCCCGACTTGCATCCAATGCCATCCAGATGCTGAATTTCTCATGTTTGCTGGTACCAATATTGGATTCGATCGTAATTCTCAAGATATCAAAGTAGTAAGGTTCGTGTTCAACATTTTTCCTGAAGAATCTCACCCCACGACTCACGCGGAGTTGTACTCCCTAAAGTCCGATTCTTGGGAGGAATTACCCGATCACCTTGGTTCTGTTACCTCATCACTCATCTGGGTTTCTGCTTCTGTAAATGGGGTTGCTTATTGTGAGACGGAGATAAAGAGGAGGGTGCGACTTCTTATCTTTGACTTTGCAAGTAAACAATTTTCTTTCCTTATCTTCCGGATTCCGCTAAGCGTGTCGGGACATCTTATAGGCTGCATCTTGCCAAGCGGGATGGAAAGCTTGCTGCTATAATCTACCCAGAGTATATAATCTACCGAAATACATTCTACCCAAATCTTGAGACGAAAAAAAAAAACTTGTGAGTTGTGGGTGAGAAGTAATGATGATGGTTCATGGGAGTGGGTATCCACTTGGTATGTTCCTGGTGGTGTTAAGCCATTAGGGTTCTGGACTAACGATGAACTGCTTTTTCAAGGCAGAGGTGAATATCTAATCCTTTTTCGCCTCGACACTCGAGAGGTTAAGCATCTTAATCTTAATATTTCTGATGCTGAACGTCTGGAGTTCGTTCCTTGTGTGGAGAGTGGAGTTCGGCTCGTTGGGAAATCAGAATTTGAAAACCAAGAGGTATAGTAATGTAATATGTTGTTTGAAAATGGCTAATATATCAAGCTTATGGTCGGTGGTGATGTCTCTTGTTGTTTCCTGGACTGTAACGTAATAAAGACGCAGTCTTCAACTCTGGAACTTTTTATCAGAAAGTTCTTTATTTGCTGTATCTGTTGATATCTTTGCATATTCTGAATTTTATTTTATATATGCTATGAAAATTCACTTTGAGAATGATATATCCTTGTCTTGTCCTCAGCTGATCAAAGTGGAAGCCCTTATAAAATCATTTCTTCTTTTTGCTGCTACGGTTTTTTCCTTTTTTTCTTCCATTTTTCTTGCTAGCTTTGCGGCTCTTATTTTCGATGTTGTTTTCCTGCCACACTTATTTCGGTTAGTCGTTCAACCGTGTCGATGGTGCCCCTATTGAGACCACGCCCCAGCCCGATGCTCCGCTATAAATTAATTTGTTGACTTATGCTAATCAAGTTAGCCAACTCCATCTACAAGCAATACTATTGAACGCCTCGAAAGACCATCCACACTTAGCATTTATAACCTTGTCATGTTCACCTTCTTCATGCCTAACTCATCCATTTTTATAGGTTTCCAAGTTCGTAAAAAATTCACGACAACCGGCGCGTGCATCCATGATCCTGCAAAGTTAGTGAAGGGTGAATAACATTGAATTTTAACTCAGATTTTTAAACCCAAAGAAAATATCGACTTTCTCGTGTTTGTCCAGCAGTTGAAGTTTGTCTCGGGCTAGCCTGTGTTGGACCCCCTATATTGACCAGGTAGGTGGGCCGGGCCTGGCATGGCCGATGCCTTGTTTGGGGACTACTAGTTTACGGGGAAGCTCATTAGGACTTGGTTTAGGTCGGTGGATTAGCTGACCACGATGATCTTCGGGGACCTACATTATGACATGCTTATTGCGTTCGGACTTGATCTTACTACTAAAGCCATACATGAAAATTAAACTAGTAAAAATAACAGATAAAATAAATAAGATTGAATTAACAACACCTGCAAGAAGACTTGGTGCTAATTTGGGACATGATGAGCATTTATTATTATTATTATTATTTTTATTATAATAAGACAAGTAAATTAATATGCAAAAGTATTTCACATAATTGACAATGATGCATCTAATTTGGATATGTCATTGAAATATATTGGACAAAATCTCGAATAATTGTTAATTAAGTTGTTTACTTTGGATTTGCGATTAATATATATCGCATGACATTTGGTGATGTTTGAGTTGGATATGTCTTGAAATATATTGGACAAAATCTCGAATAATTGTTAATTATGCGGTTTATTTTGAATTTGCGATTAATATATATCGCATGACATTTGGTGATGTTTGAGTTGGATATGTCTTGAAATATATTGGACAAAATCTCGAATAATTGTTAATTATGCGGTTTATTTTG